TCATTAACTTATCTTGAGCCAATTAGAATGACTAAGTTCTTATTCATTAATATTCATAGTTAGTAGGTTTCGAGAGTAAGAACCGTATTAATCCTATGTCGATAAGCTGATGAAGAACCACTAATTGACTTTTTCAATAGGGATACAAGTAGGGTTGGTGAGACTGATGAGACCTTGGCGAAGTCTAAACTTCAGTCTAGCCGGAAATAGAATAAACTTTTCGGGGCAAGGCTAGTAGAACTTTAATGCTATCGTGAGGACGATTCATATTATTGTGGGAAAATTAAGTTATCGCACCTTTACCTTATACGATCTAAAGTGGAGAGAACTTGTATTAATTTTGATGATGTTAGTTTTGATGCACATTCATATAAAAAATAGCTCGAGCTTAATTCAGTTTGCATACAATTTTAATATTTCGTTTTAGAGTAGGTTTTCAAGACCATCAATAAGTCACCCTAGTTAGCTTAAGGTGATGGTCTACCGAAATGTACACTGAAAAATTTCAGTCAAAAAACAAAACATTAAATGAAACTTAATGGTATAAAAAAAGGAATAAAGTCGACTTCTATAATAAATATAAGTTTGCTTCATCAACAATCCCATCACAGAATGTGATATGGGAAAATACCTAGCCGTCCTTTAAATTCACATCTGCCCTGTAAGACAAAGGCACTCGTGGCAATGGGGCGTAGTGGTTAACGTGTCGATATTACACGCTGCACTGTCATGGTTCGAGTCCCACTGGGGATGTTGATAAGACCTAGACAGGGTCGAACCGTCAGTCCATCCTGGATGAAAACACCTTTATAAAAAGTAGCTTCATGTGAAATTCAATGGAACTATAAGGTCTACTCATATACTTGTGGGCTATTTCATCTATAATTCCTCCATCATTTTGAACAAAATAGGGTGATCATAACTCATAGATAAAATTTTTATCTAATTAACCCTCTGCCATCGGCTTTGTAAATCTTCGCAGCATTGACACTCTTGTATTCATACAAATTTGTATAAAAATCTGATCTGGAGATGGTCTGAAGATTCTCGAATGGAAAGAAGCTCGGAAGAGAAAGTCACTTTCGCTTTTAGCACAAATCCTATATCATACTTTCCCCAAACCGGAAATTCCAGGATCATTTAGAGAAATCACCTTTCTCGGCCCTTAAATGGTTGTGCCCCCTCATCCTAGCCCGTACCATTCTTAGATGATTGCGGAGCTATTTTGAACTAAATCTAATTTAACTTTCCAATTTTCAATGTCGGCCATTGATGTCTGCTAAACGCAGACGTCTTAGTATCATCGATTTCATTACACCTCCCCTAACTGCATGACTATTGGTTAAGAGAGGTTAAGAAAAAAGCCGGAATTAGTGGGTTTTAGATAATCTGTTGCCTAGCGAATGATTTCTCCTTCGAATGGGATGATTAATATGTTCATTGATCTAATTTATTAAGAAAAAAATACTTAACACGCCTTTGTTCCATTACAGGAAGTCTTCCATCTACCCCACCGAGAGCTGTAGTGTCAGGAGCGTTTAGAAGAGACAATGAGAGTTCTGTTTAGAGGTAGTTTGGCCTCAATTTGGTAATGTGGTCTTTTGGTCAGAGGTACCCAGATGAACACACCTTGTCCGGGCTCTTCTGCTATTGTAGTCATTATAATTTACGTCGAACCGTCAACTTTGTACATTCATTTAGGTTCAAGTTATGAAAGCGAGGTCAAAAAACCTCTAAATAATGAAAGGAGATCGCGGCATAGTAAAGGCCACACCATGTTGGTCTTCAACCCTTCGATTTAATCAGGACTCTGCCTAAGTCATCCAATTTTTTGCCAAGTTTGGAGCCTGGAGTCAGTTTATTGTAGCCATTTTCCGGGGGATTCATGATAAGTTTCGCATGGTCTCATAGTTCTACCCATTATAGTCTCTTTTGTCCCTATTACAGACCTTATGCATACCGTATTTTCCGGCTTATAAGATGACTGGGCGATTAAGACGACCCCCTGACTTTTTCAATTAAAATATAGCTTTTGTTATATACTCGCCGTATAAGACTACCCCCTCTTCCGCACACCAAATACAACTTATAGGAACAACATATTTGATTTTAACATGGTAATTTTAATTCAAAGCAGCAAAACTGTCACTCATAAACATCAGGCTTAATGTCATCAAACATGTACCGTAAACATGAGTGC